TAAATACTAATTATATTAAATTTCAAATAAAAGCTCCTTTTTTATTTTCGTCTCATTTAATACTTAACAGGAACGTTATTTAAGACTATAAACACCATATTCCAAATATAAATGCAATTTATTTATGTAAATTTTACGTTTCAGTTGTAATAAATTGAAAAAATTATTCAAAATGTTAGCTTTTTATACGTCTTTCAAATTTATTCTAAAAAACCAATTACCTTAATATTGAACGATTAATATAATTGTATAATAACCCAATTAATATTATTGTGACACTTTTAATTTTTAAAATATTGCAAATTTAAGATTGTTTAACGAACGGAAAATTACTAACTATTGTAAAGAGTTGTTTTGATTGGTCAATGTATAAAGTGTTCCTAAAGTTTCACTAGCCACGCACTTAATAAATAGATTTGATCCCACTTATTAATTAAATAGTCTTCTCAATAGAAATCGAAATTTCTTCACTAAATAACAATTCTATCGCAAACTATTGTTAGTTTACACATGATTTCTTGCAATATGTTTGCAATTACTATTTTAATATATTTCGGGAACAGAATTTGATTACTATATAAACATAAAAATATATAGAAAATCTTAAGAAATTAATATTTAAATTTTATGTACCTAAATAAGACTTACGATAAACACGTATATTATACATATATATATCAAGATGTAATTTAATTCAAGTAAAAGATAATATATTTGAATATTAGGATGATACTTTGAGAAAGTAATACTTGTAATAAACTTTCATTGAAGAGACGGTTGAAGGTTGGAGATTTCAATCTATATATTTGAAGTTTGTGGTGGGTTGTTGGCTGCCATCTTGGACCTCGCTCGTTTGAGAAGCCGGCCGCCCGCAAAAATCTTTGAGTTTCACGCGTTTGCGCGGCCTCACGTAATCCGTAAGCAGGTTGCGCGATTTCACAACGAATTTAGAGATCTGTTGCGGTTAATTTAATCAAGATTCGGGTCCGGAATGCATTAGGTGAGTCTAAAATAAGTCAACATTACTTTCCTGATTGCGATGGCGTGTGATTTATCTCGTACATGTGTGTTCGTGTCTTGTGCTTGTGCGTGTTTCTAATCCGTGTTGCGATAGTAGATTAATTTTTACCTAGATATTTGCTCTTTAACAAAAATATCTATTTATTCTACATGCAAATTATAGCTGTATATACAAAAGTATTCTTTTGCTAATTCGTAACTGCAAATTACAGAAATGAACTGGTAGTGTTCTGTGAGCACACAATCAATAGACATCTGAGGAATATGCAGTTCATTCGTTGTAATCAGTGAACACGTTTTTACGTTTGTTAGGCTCTTATTTTAAGATTCATTTTTGCCTTCTGTTATATTATTTGATACCAGATAATGAATTTGCTGAAGTTGTTTTGATTCTTCTAACCATATAGCTGGTTTTTCTAATTACATTCACTTAAATATTATTGCTTTAATATTATTGCTTTCAATAACAAACACATTCAAGTATTTATAAATAGATTTTATTATATTCTTCATTATTTGTACGTGCAAGAAATTAACATTGTTATTATTATTTTATGAAATATTTGTATTTTCCTTAGTTTGTTGTTTTAATTATGCAGTAATATTGATTTTTACTTGATACAAGTAATTTGCAGTATGTTCACTATATTGAATACAGTGTTAATATATTTAAATAATACACTCAATTTTTGTATATTATACATTGTCATAATGTAATCTTTTAAGTAAAATAAAAAATGTACAAGAATCGAGTAGGTGTTGTTCTATTAACATTTATAATCAGATATTGCATTATTGTAATTAATCATAAGTGCACTGTAATATTATAAATAAATAAAAAATGCAATATTGAATTGTTGTAATAGATACCAATGTCTTTGATATATAATGTTTGATTTAGTTAAACTAAAAACGTAAGTTAATGTTTAGGAAAGATTAATATATATCTACATTAACCAATGTCTTATTTTTTCATTAAACTAAAACACATTTAATTGTGTTTGTTTTTTAATATAATTTTTTTTTTAATGGCTCAGGTGTATATTTATCCTCGCGCATTCATAACTGGGTGAGTGGAGGAGATAAATTAACTAGCTTTTGTAATTTTTCAATAGACAACAGTGAAAGAATAGCAATCCACAAAACAAATAGTAGTAGTGATTTACCAGAAAAAATGGCACTACCCAGTAGAGCGCGAGTTTATACTGATGTGAATTCACACAAAGCTAGAGATTACTGGGACTATGAATCCTATGTTGTTGATTGGGGGTAAGTGTAAATTTAGTGTGTGTGTGTGTGTGTGTGTGCGCGCGCACATGTGTGCATGATATGAAAGAGGAATAATGCATGTATGTACTTATATATTGCACATATATTTTTTCTTACTTTGCCGAAACATAATTAATTGTTTGTTATGTAGACAACAAGATGATTATCAGTTAGTGAGAAAATTAGGCAGAGGAAAATATAGTGAAGTATTTGAAGCTATCAATATCACAAATAATGAAAAATGTGTTGTAAAAATTTTAAAGGTATACAAATATAAGTTACTTTCATAAATTAATTGTACTGACTAAAAATTTCAATTTTCATCTACTTTTAATTTTTAGCCTGTAAAAAAGAAGAAAATTAAAAGGGAGATTAAAATCTTAGAAAACCTTAAAGGTGGGACCAACATAATTACACTCCAAGCAGTTGTTAAAGATCCTGTATCCAGGACACCGGCACTGATATTTGAACATGTCAACAACACAGATTTCAAGCAATTATACCAGACGCTAACAGACTACGACATAAGATACTACCTCTACGAATTATTAAAAGTGCGTGTATTGTTAAGTGCAATGGAACCAAGTATCAGTCCAATGTGAACCTTCGAGATTATTATTTTGATAGATGTAGGTGCATATCATAGGTTCAAGGAAGAGTTCGAAAATATTTAATTTGTATAAAGTCGTTTTTCTTTTCTTTTTATCACTAATAATATAATTTTAGTTAATACTAATACTTCTGGATGAAAAAGAACACTTGATATGACCTATTCTATTATTACAAAACATTAAAGTCACTTTGTTAGTATAAAATTGAATCATTTTGCTACCAAATATGTTTTTAGCCCTTTCAATGCTATGTGAATATTAGGTATTTCAATAATTTATTTGTTATAGCTGCTGTGAATTCCTGTGTATAAACGTTTCTTTCCTCTCTATTTATGTTTCTTATAAGTTATTTGTTTTAATGGTAGACTTCAATGACATTTAATAATTTCAAAAATATTTAGCATAGAAGGGGCTAATTGAGAATATAGTAAACAAAAATAAGATGTAGAATTTTCCTATAAAAATAAAAAAATCTTTCTTTTTCATTCGTTAGAGGGTATAAAAAGAATCCTTAGTTTCAGAAATTTTTAAAATTTTCGGACTCGTGAATATTTAAGTAAGTAATGTGTCGATAGTGTTCGATCCATTTTGCATCTATGGCTACATTACACATGTAAAAACGTAAATGATATATAAGACGATATTTTCTCTATTATCTGTTTAGGCATTGGATTATTGCCATAGTATGGGAATCATGCATAGGGACGTCAAACCGCACAATGTTATGATAGATCATGAAAATCGAAAGTTGCGGTTAATCGATTGGGGTCTAGCAGAGTTTTATCACCCTGGTCAGGAATACAACGTACGAGTAGCTTCGCGTTATTTTAAAGGTCCAGAACTACTTGTAGATTATCAGGTTTGTAACGTTAATTTCATTAATCATTACTCCAGTGATACATTATAATCACTTGATTGATGGGTATTGCATTACTACTTTTGTATTACAGATGTATGATTATTCATTAGATATGTGGTCTCTTGGATGCATGCTTGCGAGTATGATATTCAGGAAAGAACCGTTTTTCCATGGACATGATAATTATGACCAACTAGTTAGAATTGCGAAAGTTCTTGGGACTGAGGAACTGTTCGAATATCTTGAAAAGTATCATATTGATTTGGATCCTCGTTTCAATGATATTCTAGGCCGACATTCACGCAAACGCTGGGAACGATTTATGCATTCAGAGAATCAACACTTGGTATCACACGAAAGCCTTGATTTCCTTGACAAACTTTTGCGCTACGATCATTACGAGAGACTCACTGCTCGTGAAGCTATGGAGCATCCCTATTTTTGTAAGTAATGAGAAATGTTCGAACATTATGTTATGAGTTACTTACTAAATGCGTTCGATAATAGCTTTGGTAAATTGATAGTTCCTCGTTTATTTCCTTTTCTCGTCCATTTTAGTTCCAATAGTAAAAGATCAAGGTCGATTAAACATGGTTTCATCGTCACCTACTCCCATAACAGGTTCGTTACCTGTAGGTGAGTAACGGCCCAGGTAATGTCACCACCTCAATTTCCAATTTATAATTATTTAATCATATCATTCACGTATTGCTGAATCGACCACGAGAACGCCGTGAATATTCATTCGCATCTTCGAATACGATGCGCATCAATTGAACATCCGTGAAGTTCGTATTGATTCGAATTCGCAACTTCTATTTTACGATATTTATAAAAACAAAAGAAAAAAATATGCGGAAGAATGCCGGAAGTACGAACACGTCGTGTTTGTAATGTACGAATACACGTAGTTCTGGTAGCATTCAATTGAATGCATGAAATCAATTGTTGACATCATCCGGCATTGTAAAATTTAACTAATTCGCAATGGTAGATACTGTTCTTATAAAGTGTTCAAACGTTGAGCGTGGAAACACATTTATGTTGAAATAAATCCCTAATATTAAGTGTCCATCGGAAATCTTTGCCATTGAGAATTAGTTAAAGGAAAAAACTATGTTACGCTTTACGCAAGGTCGTTCCAGGCACCTCAGTAATGAAAGAAAGAAATAGCACATATTGTGGCCGAAATATAAACATCTGTCAATAATACTTCTTTATTTGCGGAGTATCAGGTGTATGGAATGACCAATGCGATTTATAGTCATATTACATAAAAAAGAAAAGAAAAAAACAAATCATACAAAATAGAGTAATGTCGGCCCTTAAAAAATAAAACGATCTTCTTTTCCAAGAAATGTATATTTTCTTTTTCACAGTACATTGTACTTTAGGAATTCGGATTTTCGCGACTGGTATGCTTTTTACCTTTCCTCCCTTTTTTTCAAATAAATAAGAAGATCGTTTCAGATGACCATAATGTGACTAAAGATGCGACTAAACAAATGTTTGATTTGAAATATTTAAACGATTCAAGTCTATATGTCGTTTAGTATCAATTAATATACAGTTAGATTAAAACGTATAAAATATTAATTTCTCTTATAATGTCGCATCCAGAATCGATTATCGCGATGCTTCGCAGATTATGTGATGAATGCATATTTTTTCTCGATATTAGTGACAGGATAAGGTCGCACGCGTCAGTAGTAATACCTGGAAGAAAATGTTTGATTCTTCCATAACGAGTGGTGAATACTATAAAAATTACAAGATTTAAACGTGGATCAGACTGTTTACAAATACCTACAAAGATTGTGGCTAAATTAAAATGTGATAACCAATAATATGTAACATGCTACAGAATGGCTAATAGATAACCTTGCAAACGAAATCTTATAATTTTGGAAGAGTGTCAGATGCATAGTACACCGTTTCCAAAATCTGTTAATATTTGGAGTATATTTGTTATTCATAATTCGTCGATCCGTATTAAACGACAACTGGACTTGAATTGCTCAGTGATTTCAAAACAGGCATCTTTTTAGTCTGCATGCGTATTTATGAGGAGCGTGCGAAGAATCAAACATTCTCATTTAGGTATCGATACTTCGCGCAAGGGGCTTGATCCTATCCCTAGGCGTGACTGTGAGCAGCGTACCGGTACATGGAGTAAACGGACTGAGAAATGTGGCGAGACGAGTTGGAAATGGGACTCAGAAAGCGATGAAGTATTCATCACATCGGTTACATCCTTAACATACAGTTTACAACTCTTGACTCGTTGTGTACTAAAAACTGATCCTTCCATTCCACCTAAACTTGCAAAATTAAGAAGAAAAATATTTCATACAATGGTGGACCACTTCTTATGTAAATGGCAATTATATTCTGACGTGGTATATAAAGTTCTACATTTTAGACATTCCTTATTCATCATCCCGGGTACTATTTGAAAGAATTTGTATTTGATGTAATGAAAACAATCTGCTGTGTACGATTGAATCTTACATGGCACCAAATGAGAAAGAACCGACGTGTTTAAAAAATAACGACTTCAGTGTACTGGAAATAATTCAGGAACGTAAGAAAATTTAGGACATCAAGATAAAATCTATAAAATCAAAGTACATGTTCCGTCCATATTGGCCGGTATACATGTACCATTAAAGCTGTATGTTGCTTTGCTCTAATTTTTTTTCTTTTTTTAATCTATGATTTGTATTGTGTTTCATTGACGCTGCTGCTAATGTCACGGTCGCGGGAAATTCGTAAATGCATGAAAACGCGATTAGATCATGTTATGTCACTTGAAAGATCATCCATTATTATACGAGACATCATAATGAGGTTGATGCAAAATAAAAACCATGTGTATTTGCATCCACACAAGCGCGTACACGACACACACACAAACACATAGCACACAAGTGCTCACACTTAACATGTACCTTAGGCCGCTCGGTTTAGTACTTTTAACGATGATAAAAATGTTCGTTTATATCTGATACAATGATAGTTAAATAAAATGTTTGTTATAGCCAAGTACTCTTTGTGCTCTGTGAATACCTGTGTATCCAGTAATAAATGCTGCCAAGATACTAGTAATGGCATCGTTGATATCATGAAAATACAATTTCGAAGACGTGTTTAAAATTTTAGCCCTTGTTATTTCCACACTTCTACGGTAATATTTTTCTTTTGTGTATTTCATATTGACCCGTAGAAGTTTGTAATTTAATTTCCATTGATCGAAGCGAGAATTCACAGGCACCTTAAAACACTTGGCGTCAGCAAAAGCCTACGTACATGAACAAAACACATGCCGATAAAAAAAAAAGAACATTCGTATTGCTGTACATTGTATGCTTGACGCGCCGGTCAAACACTTAATGTCGATAAAATGTCATTAAATTGACTGAATTGTTTCATATACAGCATTACCAATGTGTTTCTTATAAATTGAATGTGTAATTATTTATATATGAACGTAAGCCAGTTTATTATGTACATTTGAAAAAAAAAAATTTACTTCGTGAGAAAGAGGGGGAGAGAGCGAGAGAGAGGGGAGAGAAACGTACTTTTAAAGAATGTATAGGAATAGAGCACACTCCACTTGTACATCATGTCCTTTCGTATTATTTCGAAAGAATTCGTCAGTTCCTATACGTATAAATTGCGCATAAAGTACGGTCAATTCAATATATGTGTATATATACACACACACACACACAAACATACATACATACACATATAAATGTTAGCGTATTATAAATGCGTACCCTATCAAGCGGAGTGTGAATTTAAATTCACAGAGCGTTGTGCGCTCTTGAATATTATCGGCTAAATAGTAATGCTCGCTTCTTATGATCACTGCGCCGTTTTTGCCTTATTATCATGTATTTTAAGATTTTATATGTATATATATGTATATTTTATTTTTCAATAATGCATAAAAAATATATATATACATATATACATATACACAGATAAGTGAAAATAAGTGGAAAGAGGAGTACATAGGTGTGTAAGGTGGATACTGCGCTATAGATATTAAAGATGTAAAAAAGAAATACTCTATGTACGAGTCAAGTATAAATACATTTTATTTATTCTGCTTGTAATCGTCGTATTGCTCGAATGCGACAAGTATATAATTTCAAGTCATTTTCACATGGCAAGAACGGCGCAAATGTAATTGTTTGTCCAAGTTTGATAACCCTCCCTGTTCATACGTTAAGTTTACGATAATCTAGTTTAGTTTTATAGGAAAAAAAACTATTGAATAATTACTATTTAAATCTGCAAATGAACTTCAACAAAAACAAAAAATTGAAATAACGAATTGTCACTAATATAATTAATATATTATGCTAAATTCTAACTTTGATGATATTTTGTCTTGCAACATTATGATTTCACACTATTTTGAAAAGATAATGTAATGTGTAAACTAATACCACTAGGACAAGTGTTTTATCATTGTCATACATTATAGGCCAGTTTTTTAATATTTTCCTCCCATTTTGTTGGAGAACGGCTATATCCTGAAAGAAGAAAGTGCACCCAAGTTTTCAACATACAGAAAATGTACATTCGAATTTTATATTCTCTCATAATAATGCCAAAGCGATAAAGCGAAATTGTTTACAGACTTTCTCGTTGTTCTGTTTCTTTCTTCTACTTTGAAAGCATTTTAATTTCTTTTTTTTTTTTTTTTTAAATAGAAAACGGGGTACTGTAAAACAAACTATTTTAACGTGGTTGAGGTATGACAATAAAATTAGCCAAAGTGCACGGAACAACTTTGCTTTATATCTGTCATTGATCATAAAAGCATTAAAAAAAACGAACCTACCCTGTATCACGTGACCACATGTTTTTAATATTTTTGCAATGTTTACTTTTAAAGTTTAGCGATACGATGGCTAAATGAAAAATTGTGAAAAGTTACGAATTTTTCCTTCATGCGAATACGAAACACGTGCGTATATACAGTGTAACAATAATATGTATGATTTACAACAAAAAGAAACGTTGTAACAATACTAAATAGTTCTGTATAGAATTAATTGAAAAAAGAAGCAAATACAATTTCATTTGTATTAAAAAAAAAATCCAATTATTCAGCTTCTTTTGTTTACCAAAATTCAACATCATTTTAAAATATTTTTTTTATTCTACATCATCATCTTCATAACTATAATTGTTAAAATACATATAATACACTTTAAAAATAAAACTAAGACTTATAATAAGACCAATTTTGGAAAGAACATTGTTAAACATTTTTTTTTATTTTATGTTGTATATGCTGTTTTAGGGTAAATCAAATAAAAAGTCAAAGGTTATGTTTCTAATTGTATAATTATAGTAAAAAGTTCTAAAAATTGAATGAGAAGCATATATAATTAATTATCGAATTAATAATTTTGTATTAAAAATTAGAAGTACTTATTTGTCAGTATACTATGTATATGAAAGTTTAGTTATTTATTGTAACGTATAAGCAGCTACGAATGGTTGGCGTGACATAGGTGCAGTCATCGTACCTTGTACACAATCTATGACATTTCTTCTAAATTTATTTTTATTTTCAAAAATGGATACAATCAAGGGGACAAAACAGAGCATCAAAGATATCGAAAATAAATTACTCGAACAACGTAAAAATACATTAATAACGAGAGAAAAGATAGGACATATGTCAAGTGAAGTGGTTGATTCAAATCCATACAGGTAATATTGGCTTATATGAACTTCTTTATGATATTGAATAATTTTTAGTTCAATTATTTTATACTTAAACTAAAAATATAAAATATTTATGTTATTTTTGTCCTTTGATTAGCCGATTAATGGCATTAAAACGTATGGGCATAGTGGATAATTATGAAAGGATACAAGAGCTAACAATTGCTATAGTTGGTGTAGGTGGAGTTGGTAGTGTGACTGCAGAAATGTTAACAAGATGTGGAATTGGCAAGGTAGCAATTATAGAATTTATTAAAGGGTCAAGAAATTTGAATTCTTTAAGTAACAATCTATACGGATTTTAGTTAATTCTATTTGACTATGATAAAGTAGAAATGGCAAATATGAATAGACTTTTCTTTCAACCATATCAAGCTGGTCAAAGTAAAGTAGAAGCTGCAGCAAAAACATTACATTATATAAATCCTGATGTTAAAATTGAAATCCACAATTATAACATTACTACAATGGATCATTTTGAAGATTACATGAACACCATAAGGTACCTATATAAGAATGAGTCTTGAAAGATTATAGTTAGAGATAACTAAGCTCTATTAAAATTGATTTCTAGCACTGCAAGTTTAAACAAAGGACCTGTAGATTTAGTATTAAGTTGTGTGGATAATTTTGAAGCACGAATGGCAATTAATACTGCTTGTAATGAACTCAATCAGAAGTGGTTTGAAAGTGGAGTTTCTGAAAATGCTGTTTCTGGTCATATTCAATTTATTATTCCTGGAGAAACTGCTTGTTTTGCTGTGAGTAAAGGCAAAGTCAAAAACAAAATGCAAATATGAAAGCTTGTTCTTGTGAGTCTATTTCATTTCCAGTGTGCTCCTCCATTGGTAGTAGCAGAAAACATAGATGAAAAAACATTAAAACGAGATGGCGTTTGTGCAGCATCTTTACCAACAACTATGGGAATTGTAGCAGGATTTTTAGTTCAAAACACGTTAAAGTATCTTTTAAACTTTGGAGATGTGTCGTACTATTTGGGTTATAATGCCATGCAAGATTTTTTCCCTAAAATGACATTAAGACCAAACCCAAATTGTGAAGATAGTTACTGCAGAAAACGTCAGCAAGAATATGCATTAAAACCAAAACCAGAACAAAAGACAGAAGAAATAGTTGAAGATAAGCCGCTACATGAAGATAATGAGTGGGGTAAGTAATATTAAATAAAAATAAAATATTGTAAGTATAATGAACGATCTATCCAACTACATTTCATTGTAGGAATTTGTCTTGTCGACGAACGAGATCAACAAACGGATGAAAATGAATATTTATCGTCAATATCTACGAAAAGAGCATATAGCGTACCGTCGCCCGCAACTGATTCACAAGACAATCAAATTCCGTCCGAGTCTGATGCTAGTTTAGAGGAATTAATGGCACAGATGAAATCTATTTAAATTTTACCTATTTATAATGGTCATATTGGTATTGTTTCTTATATGCATTCCATTTATATTATTTCTATTTTCACCTGTTATAAATTGCTTATTATTTTAAATATACTTTTCGGATATTTTACCTACTATGTTTGTTACAAATGATTGATTTGAAAAAGAAGAAGAAAATATAATATACATATATGTCGCGTTATTATAGGCTGTATGGTACAAGTATATATGAGTTGGTTAATAAGACAACTTTATTCAAGTTAAACATCGAAACGTTCGAAACAAAGGTTTTGCCCTTCTTCTTCGTAATCTTCTCTAGTTACTAGAAGACTTGAAAATATTGGATCTTTCGAAAGCGTTTTACCACCGTGCCATGCGTACGTGATTGGGCTGAAAATAAGGTAACCAATAGTTGCGTATACATTCGAATTTTTAATATCAATTAAGAATTAAAATGTTTGTTACTTTTCTGGTAAATGGACATTTATCGCATATTCTGCGGGTGCTAAGCTTCTAACTTCCTTGTAAACTCTTTCTTGAAATCCAGGAAATTTCGCGTTACCCCCAGTAAGAATGATATTAGACAAAAGATGCGGCCACGTTTCTTCGTCACATGCTTTTAAGCAATCCATTATTGTTTCTGGAATACCCATTTGACGAATACCAACATCCGAAGGAAAAAACAGAATTTCAGGTATAGCAAATCTTTCATTGCTCAAACGTAAAGTTTGCTGTTCATTAGGAGGTTCTGGACTTTTTAGGAAACCACGTCTTAATGTTGTGTAATCTGGTAAAACATAATCTTTAACTATGGGATTGTTTTCTAATTTATTTTTGGCAGTTTCCATGTCCTTGAAAAATTCTTGAGAAACAAAACAGGAATCCTCTTTCACTTGATTTATTACATAAGTCTCATCCATGACATGAAGTTGCCTATAGGATATAATTTCTTTAAGATGATTTGTAAGAAGCTTTCCCCCCACGTCTATGCGTCTAATACCTTCTCTAATTTTAGTGTCATTTACGTATGGTACTATATGAGTAAAGCTATAACCACTATCAACTACAATACAGCACTTTGTATTAGGATTTTCTGTTTTGTACTGATAACAAGAGAGAGTGGAGGTATTGATTCTCAAGAGACTTTGACATTCGTATTCCTCAAAAAATATTTCTGTCATGGCTTCTTGAACGGTTGAGAAATTAAATAAAGGTTCAGTCACAATTACAGAAAGTTGGTTCAAGTTTACAGGACAGCATTCCTTTGAAAATATATAATCCCAAACAGTTCCTACGAAAGGTCTTCTTCGTTCGCTTTTTGCTTTCATTATGCAATTAGGAACTAATCTGTAAATGAACAGATCAACAACTGTATTGTTTTTTCTTATAAATTAATTATATTCTATCGTTACACTTACTTTGGGTTGTCAGAAGCTAACCCTACTTTTGTCGTATAGGCACCATTATCCAGAACAAAAGTAGAATTACTCATATTCACAAGGTAATTAAACGATAAACAAACGCTTGATCGTTTTTGATTTTCGTGTTGTGCGTTATAAAAGCTTAATTAAATGCAAAAACATTAAAATAGATCTCATTCACTCGGCTGATTCGTAACGTTTCGTTAAAACGCTTTGGAGAAACGCCATGTGCTATTGCAAATTAGACCTTATACAAAATCGGAAGAAATTTACGTATAAAAAGTTTGACAATTTGCAAATTATTATGTAATATTGTATTAAAAGAATCGTAAGTTTTAAATATGATTCCCAAACGTTTAATACATTTTATATTGTTACAGTATGTATATTAATAAATTGATGTATAGGGTGTATAAAAAGGTCGTGTAAAGACCACCGTGACACTACACCTTTGGATTGGTGAACATTTGTAAAAAAGAGCACGTGCAAAATTGTCCTTTACATTAAAATTCAAGGTTAAATTTTTTTTTGTTTGCAACGTATTCTACTTGTTGCGAGGATAAATAGTGTAAAAGGAATCATGGGTCGCAACTCAACCATTCTTTTAAAAAATGATATTAAAGTTCTTTATGGGGAGTCCACACTGGCAAGATATGTTCCCCAATGTTTTGCGAACAGAAACAGCATCGTATTCACTTTGGACTTGGCTAACGAGTTCACTTCTCACAAAAATGTCTACACTGCCGGCGAACGTGGTTCGCGATGTGATCGTGAATTGCTCCCGAACATCAGTATGGACTCCGCATTAACTCTCGGACAGTGGACTCTGTACTACTTACGCGCACCTCGAGCGCTGCACTGCACAGTGGGACGTCGTTATAGTAACGTTGGACATTGGGACGAAATATAAAATTTTGAATTTGACAATTTCATTGTATTGACAAGAAACTATTAGTATTTCATTATTATGTTCAACAGTATTTTTCCATTTTGTGGCTCTAGTAATTCCAGATGCCTTCCTAAAATATATTTTTTTCTAATTTGTTATCTAGTGTCTCTATTTTACATCTTTACCTTCAAGTATGTGTGCAGTCCATAATGTTGCAGTTGTTAAGGCGTATCCTGTAGCCGGATTTATGGCAGCGAGTCAAGTGGTCGCCGTCGTAGGCAAATATCGTTTCCTCAAAACACCATAAGTGTTTATTGCGTTGCCTGCGACACTTAATCCCTAGGACCAGACCCTGCCATAAATCCTGGAGTCTCTGAAAGGAAAAATAGAAAAGTGGCCCACGACTTTTGCCAACGTTGATGGGCCACTTGACTTTAACAAAGTCTAGAGAAGCGGAGATTCCACGGGATTCCCATGCATCCGTCCGCCGAACACTTTCTCCGGTCATTGTTCACCCCACCCTAAGATAACGCGCTAAGGACAAAATGGAGGGAGGTTGCGATGTACCGGAGTAAACTGATTGGTGATTTTAAAAAAGGAAAATTCACCAATCAGGGTGTTTTTAGAAAAGTGGGAGTCTTTGTCGAGGGAAACCGCGGAGACTCCGGGAGAAAGACTTTGCAGCTCGCAGAGTAGACTCTAGACCTCGAATTAGTTTAGAACATAGAACGCAAAATAAAACTTAGTGTTTCAACCAAGAAACTGGTCCTTCGTAGCCTTAGACCAGAGGCGCTTAACTTCTTGTTCACGAGCAAATTTCCCCTCCCGAGATTCCCCCACTATGCGACTGAGATGGTCTCGCTTGAGTTGCGGCGCGGCGAGAGGAGGACGCGAGGAATCCTCCCACCACAACTCCAGCGACTGCCGTTGGTTTATGATATACATTCTGCGTGTTCGTACCGCATAGTGGGGGAACCTTGGGAGAGGAAATTTGCTCGTGAGCAAGAAGTTAAAGCGCCTCTGCCTTAGACCATTAGTCGGCACACACGTGTAAAAACCGGTAACGCTTGAACGATCGAAAGATCAACCGCAAGCCCTAACAGTTGTAATAATTCCAAAATTGACGAAAAAAAAAATTGAAATGCAAAACGGAGCTTCGTTGCACATCATTGTAAATTTCATGAAAGGTTTTTTTAATTACGCAAATCGCCTAAGATCGTCCAAAAAAAATTTCACCATTATTTTCTATAAACTGTATAGATTGCAATCTTGCAAGTACTTTTTGCTTTTTGTAGCTTTTTTCAGAAATATTAATTTAATTCGCAATATTGCACCCATTAGAACCTCGCATCTAGTGCTTGAAGTTCATGATCATATAAAATAGACGTCTCTTTATCTTGTGAACAAAAATTATGTCAATATCGACAATACCTTCTTTTTTTTTATCGTCTAAAGAAGTTACAAATCTAATGAATTGCTGTTTTATGTGACTGCCATTTTGTTAAAAACCTTTTTTTTTCGCTTCATTCTACTTCACAAGATAACCACTTTTATATAGAGATAAGATCATTTTTGATTTTTTCCCCTGGATGAATAGAATAACGTAAATCGGAAAGTTGTAAAATTGTGGAGAACTTGTATTACATAGTAGAATCTTCAATAATTTACGGTTTTTCATAAAAGGAAGTGACTTCGTGTGGCACATCATTGAATTCGTCTCAACAAACGCTACCATATTATGAATAAAAAAAATACAGAGTACCATTTAAAAAAATTAATTTAACTTCAATATCTCCCCCACTACTACATCTACTGAAAAATTATTTGGACCACATAATGTCCCCCAATGTACTGAACAACTTCTGTAAGAACATTTTTTTCACAACTTCAATCCTTCATGAGATATTCCACCGTTTCCAGTTAAACAGAAAACCCTGATGCGAATGTCTACCATCCTATTTGCTCGTCCCTCTGTGCGTCGGATCAATCTCGACTCGGAGTAATACTACTGTTATAAACATGTCAGAAGGAAATCTTAAGTTGGATTGATGCTCTTCATTGATGCTCTGAAAAATTAGTGGCAAAACAATTTTCAAAAATCGAAAAGAAAAAGATTAGGTTAAGCGAAATGTGCGAAAAGTGCGTATAAGGTTTTCAGTTTTGCCGAAAAGTCTAGCGTGAGTTAAAGCTTTGGTTACGTCAACAGAAGAGTCTCCTGAAAAAATCACGTTCGATCCTGGCCGCGGCACGAACCACTGACACAAGCCCACAATTGAATTCGAGCCATGTGTTTACATTGTTGAGGCCGTCAAAGTTTCGTCTGTTCTTATACTTTTGACTCGTCCTCTGTCGTCGATGTAACTCCGGAGATTGTTTAAAGTACTTTAATTATAACAATGTTGCTACAGAGTGATGTAGTGTGGTTCCTTAGATTTTAAAACGTAAACTAAACTTCCCTTTTTCTTTCTTTTTTTTTTTTATCAGACGTACGTCTGGGAGTTGAAGCAGAAGGGGTGCTGAGAGTTCCCTGGAATAAAAGCGGTTCCTTACACTCTACAAGAAAAATAAAATATTAGCGTACATAATTATTATCGATAGCTGATGGCTAAATAAGTAAGGTAAGCAGGAAAAATTTCAAAAAACCTTCTCGGCGAACAAGGTGCCCAAGCACCGACAGGATCAAGCCATGCAAGTCAGTCATGCCTTGGTGAATATAAAGCTGTGCAATAAGCTTAAGCATAAGTAGTTGTCCTGTAAAAATACAATCTAAACGGTATGTCATTAGTAAGGTATATAATCTGTGATAGTAGGCCCCGTGACTGAGTTAGTTGCGGGAGGGGGTGTGGATATGGTTCGATGATGATATATTATTGATCTAAAGGGAATCTGATCATGGGTGTATATGGTAGAAGGTTTTTATTATATAACATAGTATTTCGGATAAGAGGATTTGTATGTGAATTAGGATGGTACTTGTTTAGCAAAGAGTTGATTATTACTTTTAGTAGTGGAATTTTGGTTCGAAGGTGTATATCGGCAGTAGAGTGGTCAGGAGGTAGGTTTAATATGAGTTTTAGAGCTTTATTTTGGATTCTTTATAAGCTCATAATGTGAGTGGGAGCTGCAACATGCCACACTTGAGCTGCATAGGTAAGAACAGGGCGAATGCAAACTTTGTAAATAATAAGCTTTAAGTCTTTGGGAAGCCTGGATTGCAGGACCCCGGCGCAGACCCGAGTCGAACCCCCGCTCGAACTCCCCACGGTTCCGGGGGATCCCCTGCAGCGAGTTATCCGTGCAGAGGGATCCCCCTTCGCTGAGGGGCGATAGTGCAAGACGCCAGTGCCGTCTCCTTACAGCGCAGCTAAGGGGGCGGGTCATCGCCGGGTGCGTAGCCCGGCTCTCCGCCCCCTCATTGCCCTTCGGAGAGACTCAGAGCGGTCCCTGACCCTCTCGCTTGCCAGAATCTCTCTCACGACGGCTGGCAGGGTGAGGTCCTATCATATCACGGATTGGAGGATACGGCGCTGCCCGGATAAGCCGGGACACTCTTCAAGAGTGTGTTGCGCCGTGTCCTCCTCTCCGTCACAGTAGTGCCGACACTGCGCCGCCACCTCCCGCCCTATCCGGCACAGAAAGTCACCGAAGCAACCATGTCCAGTGACGATCTGCGCCAGACAGTAGGTTAGCCTACGCCGCATCCTGCCGATCCACTCCTCGAAGACCGGCAGGATCGCTGCCACGGCGCGCTTTCGGCGTCTGTCCTCCCATGCCTCGATAGCGCGCCGCTGGTCACGCCGCCTCAGGGCCCCCTTCTCGACCGCTAGCTCCGGCGGGAGGACCCCCCTCCGGCGGAGTCGCTGGACACGCTCGTAGACGTGAGTATCTCCCTCCGTTAGGAGGTCAAACGGAACCACCCCCGCCAGAGCCGTCGTGCGGTATCCGCGCGCAACTTTGATCGCCACCTACCGCTCAATCCGGCGGAGTTTCATCTTGCTCCGCCGGCCGGCGACCAGGTCGCGCGCCCACACGGGTGCTCCGTATAACACCATACTCCGCACGACGCCCACGTAAAGTGCTCGGGGGACCAGACGGTCGAAATGCGTCCCGAAGTGATAGCGAGAATCGAGGGTGAGTCCAAGGTAGCGCATCTCTGAGCCCACCCTCACGTAGGCGTCCCCCACCCGCATCCAGGACCGGGGCGGCTCCCTCCGCCGAGGCCCATAGCACCACATGGCCTCAGTCTTATGAGGGGCCACCTGCAGCTCCAGTCTCCGGATGCCGGCAACGACGCATGCCACCCCGAGCTCGGCCATTCGCATGGTTCCCTCCAGCTTGCTCCCGGTCGCCAGCACCAGCGTGTCGTCCGCGTAACACGTGACGTTGACGCCAGGAGGGAGGGCCACCCGCAGTACCGCA